GAAGCCTGCTTCTCCCTCTCCCATTCCCCCTGCTTGTGTTACTGCTCTCGCTATCTCTCTCTCTGTCAAATAAATAAATAAAATCTTTAAAAAAATAAAATAAAATAAAATATCAGAGTAAGTTACATTTTAGAACTTATAAGCTAATTTAAACAATAGTAATTTCAGGGGAAAACCTTACATATTTCCCTCTTGAAAACTGTGGAGTTTTTCATTTTGACCCCCTTATCTGTATGTATTAGGCCTGTTTGCCTGCTGCAAGTTTTTTTTCCCTAGGTGATAGGGAAGCATGACTTCAGTGCAGACCACTTTTGACATTATTTTGACATTTACAAATATGTTCTATAATATTGAATATTCTCCTTAGAAGTTTATGGTGAATAAAAGCAGTCCTGCTTTAAGCCTCTGAAAGCAAGTTCAGACTTTATGAAATAACTGAAATTTTTTTTCTTTCTCAACAGGTAGCAGAGGGAAAACAAGAAGAAATCCAACAGAAGGGACAAGCTGAGAAAAAAGAATTACAACATAAAATAGATGAAATGGAAGAAAAAGAACAGGAGCTCCAGGCAAAAATAGAAGCTTTGCAAGCCGATAATGACTTCACCAATGAAAGGCTAACAGCTTTACAAGGTAAGTTGCTAATCCAGAAGTTGATTTGATTTGATTTTTTTTTTCTTTTATCTGTGAAATATCTTTTTCTTGGACTTTTATTTACAGTACGGTTAGAACATCTTCAGGAGAAAACTCTTAAAGAATGCAGCAGTTTAGGTAGGTGTGTTACCCAGTTTCTTATTTAAAGCTGAATTTTATCATTGGACTTTTGATGTTTACTCTCTCATGGGGTACTTATTTTAAGAGGGATATTTTGTTTTAGGTATAAAGTATCTACAGTCTTTCAGAAAATTTCCTTTAAAAATATGCTTGATTGCCACCAGTGGGCACCATTGTTTAGTCCTTGAGATAAATGAAATTTCTGCATCTGAGATGCTCTATTTAGAGATATTTAAATAAGAAAAATAAATGCACAGCAGGATCCTTTTTCTTTTGAGGTTTGTTGGAAGGCAATTGTAGCTTTTTCTCTGAGTCGATAGAAAATGTCCAGTTGAGCCCTTCTTTTAAAAACAAATTTAAAGTGTGCTATACTGTCTTAATGTTAAGTAGGAATACAAAATGCCATGGTTACACTTGAGACCAGTTTTAAAGTAACACTTTCTTTGATCAGGCAGTGATACACTGTCTTAATCCTAGGGATACAAGTTGATGACTTCTTACCTAAAATAAATGGGAGCACAGAAAAAGGTAGTGTAAAAAACTTAAATGTTTTTCTTTCATGGTACCCTTTTACTATTTAAGCAGGATAGAGAGATCAGCGTTTTAAGGTTTTAAGTGTTTGGAATGAAAAGCATGCAGTTCATAGACCATTGAATCCCAGCTTTAAAAAAAAAAGCTTCCCTTTATTTTGTAATTCTTAATGCTGTGATTTTTGTTTAGATACCCCTTATTATATGGAAATTTTAATTATTCAAGTAACAGGAAAATTATAAAGTTCAATTAGCGTTGGTTTATACAGCATAGTATAGCTTTCTCCCCAGTATATTTTTCAAAGAACTCGACTACAATTTTCTTCCATCAAGTACTGTTTCCTGAGGATATTGGGCCTCCATTTTCAATGTTTGTATCCCGCTCCATTCCCGGCCAAGGGTTTACTTAACAGCGCATTGAGCTCTTGGATATGTCATAGAAACTGCTTTCTTTACACTGTACATCTATTTCTTTAATCAGAAAAAACAGGATCAGTCATTTATGCTGTCTGAAAAGTCATTTATTAGTTAATGATTAGTTTATTGGGACCCTTCTTTCTGGATAGCTTGCATTATCTCTTGCCAAAAATATATAGCTACTCTTGGTTTTCCTGTTACTGACTGCATGGGGTACTTTTTACCCAGTGGCTTGTACATTCCTTCAGTTGTGAAGATCCCCATTCATCCTTCCCCATTTCCATCCATCCAACATTAATTGAACACTAGCTATGTGCCAGATCCTGCATTAGATTCTTTAAGTACAGAATGAATAAAATTATTTTCTGTGTTTACAAATCTGTGTATCTCTCATCTTAGTTTTTATACAGAAGTTAGTAGAAGATATCAAGGTCAATACTCAGAACTTCTTATTAAATATTTTTTTCATGTATCAGGGGATATCTTTATAGTTCTTGGGGCAGCAGCCAACTCTGATAAAGTTAGGAGGTGCTTTTTTGTTCTTGTTTTTGTGTGGTTGGTTTTCAATCAGGAACCGGCAAGATAGGCTCAAGTAATCATGTATATGTGAGCTGTAAGCTCAAGACCTAATATTACATATAATCTGTAGCAAATCTTGAAACTCTAAATTAAAAATTATTGTCATTCATCATTGTTACTTGACTATTCTATATGTGTTTTATAAAATACATCTACATTTTAGAATTCCAGTTTGAGTTTCAATTCAAGAATTTTTTAAAGGTGTAGTTTATATTCGTTACTAATATTACTAATTTCTGTTTATTAATTATATTTAGCAAACATATATAAAACGACTTAATCCTCATCTTCTAAAAGCTTGTCATTGTTAAATGAATTTTTATTTTTTGTTGTCATTATTTGCTTTTTTTTTTTTTTCCTCTTTCTGGCACGAGCACTTTTTATTCCAATTCATCACCATTTTGATTTAAGCATGTATTTATTAATAATGTATAACTCAAACTCGGAACATGCTTTTCCTTCAGTTAAGAGAATCCCTTTATATACACTAAATCATCTTTATATTATTTTAGAGTTGTCAGATTACTGCTTAAAATTTTTTGCCAATTCCAATTGATTTAGATGAGAATAGTTATAGACAACTCCTTGATTTAAGACTGAATATTTTGGATACTTCTTACCATGATTGTTTTTTCCCCCGCTGGTGTGTTTGGATTTTTAGTGGTGATAAATTGAGTGGTATGAGAGTGACCTATAGTATATCTTTAACAAAACGGGATAGTAAATATCTTGATAATGCACAAAAACTTCATTATGCCAGATTTAGTACAGAGTGACTTTGGAATAAGATGAGTCTGTTCTGAATCATTTGTTATATAATAACAAACCAGTTATCAAGCATTCCGGTATTACCAAAGCCCATAGCCACAGTATGCTATCAGATATGACTTTATCTAAAATTACTCTTTAAATAGTAGAGAGGGAACCAAGTATAGTTTTAAGAGAATATTTTAAAAATATCTGGAGATGTTAAGATTAATGCTGTTTCTCTAGTAAACTCTGTTTTTGAAATTACTTAAATCTAAAGTAGCTGCTTTATATATATAAGCACAGGTTTTATACTATAAATTTTTTTGTATCTTATCTGATAAGCATAATTTGAATATGTCTTAGTATAGAAAAGCACTGTCTAATAGAAATATTGTGAGAGCCAATATATATAATTTAAAATTTCTGGTAACCACATTAAAAATATAAAAAGAAACAGGTAAAGTACTTTAGTTAATAATGTATTTTAATAATGTTTAATAATATATTTACTTTAACCCACTATATCAAAAATATTATTTTAACATGTCACCAATAAGTATTTCACATTCTTTTTTCCTTAGTAAGTCTTTGAAACCAGTATATATTTATTTTACACTTACAACATATCTCAATTCAAACTAGCCATTTTTTCAGGACTCAGTATCCACATGTGTATCAAGCATGTGTATTGGACAGCACAGGTAGTATAGAAAATCAAAATTTATAGGAAACTCATGTATAAATAAAACACATTTTAAGTATCACAGTTCTCTCTTTTATTTCTGTATCTGTCTTTTCTTTACATTTCCACAGCCCTATTTGGGATCTTAGACATGCCTCCCCCTCCCCTCCAACTTAAGTATCTGATTCTTTTTGCATTATCAGGGACATCTTTTATAGTTGGCAAAGTGAATTCCCAAGGGGCTGAATTCAAGTAATGAAGCATTAAAAGTGTCATGATCCAAATCTTTTACATATACTATCTGAAAGACTTTTCTCTCATATTTTAGAAAATGCCTTTGTAGAAGTCATATATATATTTTTGTATTAATCTTGCATTTTATCTAAGCTAGTATTTTAAATATTTTAATCTAGAGTCCAGATATTAAAATCAGAGTAGATAAAAGGGTAATTTGGGGCTTAGTGAGTGATGGTGGGATGTACTGCATTAATAAATGTCATCTAAAGTCCTGTGATGATAGTCTGAAATTTTTGTTTCAAATAAGTTCTATTAAGTCCTTTAGGTTAAAATTTGGTTTCAAATGAGTTTTCTTATTTAACCATGATGTTGTATAGTTGGAGTTCTGAAAATATTACCATAGCTTAGGTAGGATTTATATAAAACAACTTTTGATCATGGTAATTACTATTTAACTGAGGGCTCCTGTTTTGGATTTCTTGGCTCCAATCAGCAAATGCTGTTTATTAGATTTTTTTTTTTTTTAATTACTTTTGCAGGTAGCCTTTTTTTCCTTTTTCTTTTTGGGGCTATATTGTATCTCTGTGTAGTGTAACTATATACAAATATATACAACTATACATACCATATTACACATATGTGTGTGTGTGTATATATATATGTAAAACTGTTGACTGGAGGCTCTGTACACCATGTAAATAGATAAAGGAGAATGACAGATTTCAGTAGGAAGGTAAAGGAGGTGGCATTAAAAAGGATATCAAGAGAAGTTGTAATGTGATCAGAGTAGGAGATGCCTGCCTCTCAAACAAAAGTTGAGATGATGAAGGGTGAGGTGGGTTGAAATGAGGAGAAAAGAGGCTTTCACAGTCCAAGTGGTACTAACTCATGTCCTCTTTGACAGCTTTTAGTGCTTTCACACCATCCAGATAGTCATCATACTGAGATATATTTTTAACATTGAACTTCCAAAGTCTATTTAGTAGTTTTGAAAGATCCAGAGTTATAATTGAAGGATGTTATCCAGATTCAGAAGGTAACCCCTTGGATCAATGTAAATAAAGATTATTGTAAGAAAAGGGTTGAAACTTGTCTTAACTCCTGTTAGGTTTTGATTCTCTCCCCTCATTAAAACAAAACAAAACAAATTCTGTTTGACCTGAGCAAAACCATTTTCCAGGCTCTTATTTTTAAAGGTATAGGCATTGACTTTAATCATTTGGGTGGAGATAAACAATGTAATATTTTGAGAGTATATAAAGTACAGATTAAATGACTCAAAGGGAAAGGTTATTTGTGAAATGAAAGTCTAAAAATTGAAATGTTGCATCATTGTCTTAAAAATTTTAAGGCATTATTTTATGGTGTTCTTAAAATATTTATCTTTTGCCTCTTAACTAAGAAAAATAGCTTTGAAGAGAGACTTTTAGAAAACAGTTATCAGTTAGAACAAATAATAAAATATAAACATTATTTACAGGTATTTATTAAGCTGTCATGGAGAAAGGTGTATTTTAAAAGTGGGAGAAGCTTTTTAAAGCAATATATCTATGGTTTTCTTGAGCTCTTTGGATAGAAACTGTACTTTTAAAAGCTAACCATTCAGAGTACAAATCAATATTATAAAATAACAGTTTTCAGTCATTTAGCTTTATTTAACTCCTAAATATGTCTGCTATTAATATTAAAAATATATTAAACTTTTATGAATCTTATTCAGAGTTACTCATGTTAATACATTTCAGTTTTCCTACCTTTGCTGTTGGTTTTCAAAAACAGCAACAAACTATATCCTTAAAAGTGTTTCTTTCTTTATTAGAGCACTTGCTTTCAAAGAGTGGCGGGGACTGCACTTTTATTCATCAATTCATAGAATGCCAGAGTGAGTACAGAGTATTTTTCACATTGATTTTAATGAAGTCAGGGGCAAAAATTGAAAAATGAGAGGAAAAATGAAGATCTCAATGTGTTTGTTATGGTAGAAGTGCATTGAGGGCCATCTTCAGACAGCAGCGATACTTTTCATACTGTTTCGGCTTCTCTCTTTGGAGAAAATTTTTTTTTTTTTAAAGATTTTATTTATTTATTTATTTGAGAGAGAGAATGAGGTAGAGAGAGAGAGCATGAGAGGGGGGAGGGTCAGAGGGAGAAGCAGACTCCCCGCT